AAGAAGAATAAATAAATTAGTAAAAAAAAAAATTGTTAAAAAAAAAGAATCAGATGGAGTTTAAAATCTGTCTCTTATACACATCTAGATGTGTATAAGAGACAGGTATACAACCATATAAGAAGTATTAATCAGTTAGTATAATATAAAAATAATTATATTAAATACTGAAAGATATTAAATAAAAAATTATATTTCTTTAGCAAACTGTTCTCTCAACAACATTATTCATAAATATTTACGCACGTAAACAATTTTGCTGTAGCCAAACTAAACAAAATCCATTTATTTGGTATTTTCGACTGTGAAGCCTCTAACCATAATCGCACATTCGAAGCACACTCGACTAACGCTCTAATACACTGCATTTTCCAGATTTATCTACCACTACAAGCAACAATTAAGATCGAAACAGATGCAGCCTCCACAATAACAACACAGGAGAAAAAAACGGACGACAAAATTATTTCAACGAACATACAAACCACTACAACTGGCAAGGAAGCGTGGCTGGAATTGCCTTTAGAGCAAATTGTAAAAGTGGAAATCGGCAGCGAGGACGAAAATGGCAATTGGAGCGATATTTACTTGCAACACATCGATAGCGAAGTATTGGAAAAATTCGATGAATTGCTTGTGCTAATTAATAAACACATTGCTAAATTGAAACGCAATCCGGCAATGCCATTCCCCGCCTCATGGTTCAAGCCAATGCAGAATTGTATAATACATTATGATGACCGTTATTTACGCGCCAAATTGTTTGGCATCTTCAGCAACAAGACAACAACTAATACCATGCCATCAACAATTTACCGTTTCTTTTTGTGTGACTACGCATGCTTCGTAATGGCTAAATCGGATGAGTTGTACAAAGATTTCCTATATCCCACCACACAAGAAATTGTGGAATTCACGCCGTATCAAGCCATACACTGCCGGTTAGCTGGCATAAATTTCAATAAATTCGCAAAACGCTATAAAGTCACCAAAGATTATCTTTTCGCTTATGCTGTGAAAGCGGCCGGCTGTGCATTAACGTCAGTTATAGCCGATTTCAATATAAATTCCTATGAAATACTGTTGTATGAGAATGAAACGGAAGAAAATTTGCAAACGATAGAATTGGTCAATAATAAATTGGTAGAAAATGGTGTTGCCACGGTGGATGAGTCAGTCAAAGATATGCTGCAAAAGCATGCAGAAGTGCCTAAGACGCCTAAAGGTTTGTGTAATTTTGATGAACTGCTACAATGCATACAACGTTCCTTTGAGTTAGAAATGTGTGAGTTATATGACGCGAGCACTATAACGCCGCTACAGGCAATTGAACCGCCTTTACAAGAAGCGACGGAAAGCATTGACAAGCTACCGCCGAGCACTGACACACCGCTCGGTTATAAAAAATTAAAATCAAAATCCACACCGAACTCAAGCTACAATGAAGAAGAGCCATTACTAACGCCCAGCAAAACATCAAGCAGCAACGATAACAGTCGTACACTCAACTCAACCTCGACCGGCTTGGACACAACATCTTCGTCCACAAACTCTTTACCGCCACCACCTGCTTTACAGGCGAAACACAAACGTCCGCAACTCTCCTGGTACGATACAGATTGTTTCATTTATCTCGTCATACATGCGCCCGATGTTGCTGACTATTATCTCGAAGTTACAGCAGATACATTGATATTCGCTGCCAATATACAAGATGTGCCACATGCATTAGTGCTCAATTTGCTTGGTATAGTTGAGCCTTCTCTAGTTTCGCATGAAATACGCGGTCTAAATGTGTTTGTGCGCTTGGTTAAGGGTGTTTTTATGAAATGGCCACGTTTGTTACAACAAACGTTGCGCTATCCTTGGCTCACGTACAACTTGAATGCGTTAGATTTGTCAGAAGTGGAGAAGTTGCTGCCGCAACAGCAATTGGAAATGATACTACAAAAGACGGCAGCACTAAACCACAATGACAGTTATAGTAGCGATGAGGATTCTGATGATGAACGCAATGTATTCCAAACATATACGCCCATAGTTAACAGTGAGGACCTACACGATCCCATTGTGGAATTGCTTTGAGAGCGGGTGTCTGTTAATTTCAAGCCATATAAGTATGGTTGTTTGTTTGTTGGCCTAGGAGTRACTTTAATCGCGCTCAAATGGCACATCGTGCACTTGCCTAAATTTTAAACATTTAACATGTATTATTTATAATTTGATTATTACTCACTCAACAATATTAAAGTTTTTATTTGAAATTGCGAAAACATTAATTTTAAAACACATACACAAATGAATATTATAGTTTCAGATACATTTTTGCTGCATAGTTTTAAAGTTTATATATATTTATATGCATATATATGTCACATAAAATGTTAGAATATAGAATTTAAGTGCTTTTGAATTACTATAAACTGTAATACTACAAATAAATACTTTGAAAGTGATTATTTTTACATAAATAACTTTTGTGCGAAATTGTTGTTGCATTAATAGCAAACAAAGCTAGAGACTCATTGGATATTCTTTTTAGATTTTCAAATTTACGCTGCACCGCTATGGTAGAAAAAACATCTTAGAATGTTGGAAAAGCTATATGACGCAGTTCTTCTAACCTTCCAAAATAGATGTTCTAAAAATATTATTTAGTATGGACAGTGAAAAAGAGGAATTTAGATTCTTTCGTATGTTAGAGCAATTTTAAGTTTATATCAAACAATACTTTTAATTTTTTAAAGAATGTTTTAGATTCCTTGTGTTGGTTGAATAGCTAATTAGTTTCACTTATAAACGGAGAGTAACAGTTTGTGAATCGTCATACGATTTCTAGCATATCTTTACATATAATATAATCTACTTGTCTCGGGTCATATCCGTACGTAAAGAGGTATTAATTTTTTATATATTTTATAGTTATCTATCTGGTATCTCCATGATATATTTAAATAATAATTTTTAAATTTGCACTTACCAATAAGCGGTTTGAATTTTACATCAAAGTTGCGCTTGCTTTCACGTTTCCACACACATACACAATCACACTTTTTTCGTTTATAAAAATAATCACTGAACACTATTAATCACTACACTATTATAGACAAAGCACATATGTAGGCATAACATTTTATTCTGCAGTTGCCTCATTGGTTATGTCTTTTTTGTAAGATATTCTTAAATTATCCAACAAGGAAAACCAGCACAAATATAATTAATAAACAATAAATATATGCATTATTAGTTTTGAAGAAATTATTCCCCTTTAAGTGCTTCGAGGTAGCTTTTTTGGTTATGACTTTTGTAGAAACCCCTAATTTTTTCGGCAAGAAAAAAAAAAATGATCCCAGCACTTTACTTAATTTTGTAAATCAGAAGCTTAAATTAAACTATTAAGCAACTATTTACTCTCGTTTGTGAGAATTTGACATACAAATTCCTTTGGTTACGGCTTTGCAATAATTGCTTTCTTTTTTTCGCGCACAGCACAATCAAATTTCAACATCCGCAATTTATCCTGTTGGCCGGCCAACTGTTGAAATTTTCGGTGAAATAATGGAAACAAAATGTCAGATGTTAACTTCCGTTATTTTAACTTTCCAGTTGTTGTATTTCCAGTTAAGTCGATGTTTTCTTTTGTTTTGATTATTTCATTCATTTTAATGGGATAAATTAATTATACAGTTTTTATTTGGAATTGGCTATTTAGCTGTTGCTAATTGTTTTGCTGTAACAGCATCAAAAACATTAAATACAAATGTTTGTGACGTTTTACAGGGCGGTTACGTGTTTTGTTTTATCCGGTAACACCCTGTGCGAGATTTCCTTTGAGTATGCGTTTTTTTTTATGTTTTATATTCAAGGTATACATTTCCCTTTCGTGCGTAAATGATTTGATTTTTAACCGGGTCCCAAATATTTGTAAAATGGCGTGAGTTTCACTTGGCCCTTGCTAAAGTTCGACAATTAATTGATTTAGGAGAAAATGATATACAATAAATATAATTAATTATATCTAACAAAGAAGCTCAATTGATCCTAAAAAATTAGCAGCGTTGCAATACAATACTGCGAAAACAGCTGTTATTCATTATTTCGTTCAAATTTAAAATCGTAAGTAAATTGATGCACTGATTTGATTTGCAATGCTCTAAATAATTTAATTTAAAGTAAGACTTGTCTTTTGAGTTCATACAAACGTTCCAGCGATTCGGAAGTGTTTGGGTAGTAGATAAACCTTTTTACTCACCACTTAATCATAACAAACATTTGAAATTCTTGTATAGTGATAATTTTTATTTATTTTATGTAAACATATTTAGTTGTAAAACATTTCTAAAGGATATTCTTTCTGTTAATGTTGTAATATAAGTATGAACTTCTTAATTTTTGTTTTGTTTTTTGCTCATAAACGCTAACTTGGAGATACATACATACATACAAACGTTTATCATAATTTAATTTATTTTGTATAGTATACAATATTTTAAAACGAAATGATGTTCGAACAAACGTAGATGATAATATTGTATATGTATGTGCATAAGTTCGCAGTTTTCTTTGTCTGTTTAAGATATTAAAATACATAATTATGCTTGTAATAAGTAACAATAACTGAAGTTTTAGTTTGTTATTATTAATATTGTTCATTTGGTTGATTGATATCATTCATTTATTTATGTATTATTTGATTTTAGGATACTCAGCGCACACAACTTCATTTGCTAAATTGAGTAGTAAATTCTGTGTGAGTGCGTTCGTTTCGGCTGCTAGCTAAGTAGTGTTTAGTGCGTCCCATAATAAGGCAAATTACGAATGAACGGATTACGGGTATTTAGCGAGTGGCTGAGAGTGATATCAGTGCATTTCAAAAACACAAACAAAAAATTACACTTAGTTTACGTAATTATACATAGTACGTACATGCTACATATTTACGAGTAGGTTTACGAAAAAGTACAAAATACCAAAATGAGCACGAAAGTGTATTGTCTCTAAAACTAACCTAAAATGATGCGTGGTTGCGTGGATGCTGCTGACGCCGACTTATCGTTGCCATCAGTGGTAAGTGCAGATTAGGGCAGTCAATCTGCAGTACTAACGCTAGTTGTGTAGGAAATGACGAAGTACAGAGTGCGCTTTAAAGCTAAGTTACGTGAAGGAATTTCTGTTTTTTTTTTTTTGTTTTAATTTTTTCATGCTTAAGTACCATTACCGAAAATCGTACCAAAACCAGCTTGTATTTTTATTTTTTTATTTCTTCGTAATGTTTTTATTCGTTAACTAATATTAACACACATTAAAGCACGTGTGCACACACTTCGCGTCACGAAAACGATACTCGTTCGCTTACATATTTCTATTATTATGAAATTTTAATTATAATCGTTAAAAGAATGCATGAACTATGGAGTAATCATATTAAATTAAATTGAGTAGAAGAGAACGTTGGAAAATATTAACATTTCGAGCATGGAGCAATATCAAAAATTGGAACAAAAGCATCAAAAATTTCTTTTTGTAAAAATATTAAAAAAAAAAGGAACTTTGAAATTTGTTTTAAATTACCAACAAGCAACAGTGTTTATTTTTTAAGTTGTAAAATTACATTTCTTAAGTTGAAAAATTAGTTTTTTTAAGTTGAAAAATTCATTTTTTTCAGTAGTAAAATTTAATTAATAAGCTAAGTAGCCATTTAGAAAAAAAATCTGTTTTTCAGCATTTAAAATGTTTTAAAATTAAAGGCGATGACGCAAAAAAGCTAAAGTTAACTATATGCCACTGCCCGCAAAGAAAATTGCTGGAAAAAAATTTGAACTATTCTATTTTAGAGCTTTCGAGATTGCAAAGTAAAGATTGCTGCATTATATTGTTAATAAAAAATGTTTGTTAATAAAAAAAAAACACAAAATTGTCAATGAAAATAATAAAAAATTAAACAAAAGTAATACAAAAAAATTAATCAAAAAATAAAAACAAAAAAAAGAAAA